ACGCCTAGTCCCGCAGCGATGCGCTCGGTCTCGTCGGACACGTCCTTGATGTATGGCAGCGTGGTTCTGGTTGGGTCCCCAGAGGGCGGGCACGTCAGCATCGGTTTATGAAGGCCTTAGGATAGCCATTCCGCATAAACTGGTTGCGGAGATATCGGGCCTCTGACAATGAACTCCCACAAGAGCCCGGAAGTTTAAAAGAATTAAATTGTGATTCCAGTGATCGAAACGCCTTCGTCTTCTATACACATACGTGGGATGCGAGCATTTGCCCCAATTCGTGGCTGCAATAATGCCTGATCAAGTCGGCCTCGATAATGTCACAAACGGAACCTCTCCAGGCGTGATCATTTGCGGCAGCGGATCTTGATAGCTCCATCCATTCTCTTCTCCAGCGACGGAGACCGAAAACCGAAGTTCCAAGAACCGCTTTCATTTCTTGACAAACATTTTCGGGCTAAGTCTTGAGTTGCCCTCCTCTTCGACGCCTCCAGGTGGGCAGCGGCGCCGGATCCAAAACTTCATAGCAAAGCTCCTGAGGCAGACGACGCAGAACGGGACTAACCGTCTCAGTCGTCTTACTTGGATGGCCTGAGATATCCTCGCGATACTGTCGCATCGAGTGCGGACTGTCTCATTTGAGATGACCTCGGTATACTTAACTCGAAGGATGGTCAAATACCTCCAGTTTTCGCCCATCTTCGACGCGCAAAGACCAGCATTCATATCCATAGAGGAGGACTGACTAGACGGGTGCACGGTAGATACAAATCTTCGTGGCGATGGAGATGTTTCAAATAGATGCATGTTTTCGGAAGAGAAAGAATACCCTTCGAACAGCATCGATTCGGGAGATAATGTAGTCCTTACTCTGTCCATTCGGTAAGAGCCTCGCCCCGAGATATTTAAAGTTCTTCTTCAAGTTGACGGTCATTAATCCCCCGAGGTGTGCCTTTTCCTGGTCAGGGATGCAGCTCGAGAACGATTTGGTCAAGCCAACCGACATGGCGATCTCATTCACCCGCGACACTGCAGACTGTAGATCACCAAAGCTTGAGGCTAGCAGGGCGATATCACCGGCGTAGTCAATATCAGTCTGCCGGCGTCCGGAGGCAAACTCAACACCGTCTTTTTCATGTAGGGTTGGTTTGTTAGTAGCCCATTGTTGGATCAGGAATGCCCGCCGGAATCCAAACTGGGTGCAGTTGAGAGACAGAGAAAAGCCGCGACCTCAGCCGGCTTGAGCCAAAGGTCCACGGGGATGGGTTGGGTGCCTGGCCGGGAACTGCAAGCGAACAGATACTGACAGTCATGCGGAGAAACGCCGCAGTCGGGTATAGACGGGTCGAGCCGGTGTTGGTACTGGCGAAGGACCATTGAGTAGCCACTGCGTAGTTGAGCCAGAGTACAGCGAGTGACCCTCGGAATTTGTCGTTCTGAGGCCGCGATCGGAGTTGGATAGCCGCCCAAGAAGACGGTGGGTTGGTCGCCTCTTTTTTTCCTAGTGTAGGGCCTTCCCGATGGTGACAGTCACAATTGTTACAAATCCTTCATTTAGCTGGTGGACTTGGGTGTGGGGAGCAAATTTACTCCGATCAAAATCCGTGTGTGCTGACTCGTCCACTCTCCCCGAACTCAGGGTTAGGAAGCTGGTGCGCTCTATTACTCCGGTTCGTCAGTTTAGCGCCAGGACAAGTTTTCTTTGGAGAACATTTTAATGATCACCAGAATAAGCTTTTGTCTTTGCTGACGTTTCGAAGAGTTGGCCCAGCTCTCCATTGTCAAAACAGAGACTGCCATTATCGATCAGCAATTTGAGGGTGTGGCTGTAGTTGCAGGCCGTGGGCTGATCTATTTTCTCCTCGTTCGCTTCCTTGTTCCTCGTGTGGCCTTTGACGTCGAGTGACGCTTCCACGTTGGAGGATGCTGGTAATCCTGTCTCCTCTACCGGTGGGTTCGTCGCGGGCCCGTCTTCATTTGAAATTCTTAGGTTCGATTTGATCTTGTCCTGCACTTTACCCACTTAACAGCTTAGGACTGTGTAGGCCGCGGGCAGGTTTAGACGCCTGTTGACGGAGTTGGCGTCTAAGTACCATGCCTCAAGCGTCAGCCCTTCCGCTTTTGAGGTGCCTCGGCCTACGATGGTCGCTCCTTGAATATCGAAGTTGTGGTCAGTCTCTCCGATATGTGTTGCAAGCTGTGAGTTTGGATCTAGTCTCCGAGCTGCCAGTTTGTGTTTTTATAGGCGGGTCTGCAATTTTCGCCCTGTTTTTCCAACACAGTTGCAGTCCCCATCGTCGCAACGTATCTTGTAGACAACTGCAGCAGTTTCAG